CTCGTTTAAAATCCAAAACTGACTTTTATTGAATGTTGTCTGCGGCAAAGCCGCCTAATTCTAAATGTTAAGATTTTTCTGAATATATATAGTAAAATCTATATACATGCATAACTACTGGCTATCTAGCCATATACCGTATTCTTGTTTGGGTGCAGTCACACCATGCCCATCTCGTCTGACACATCCCTGTTACCAGGGTAGGTGTAACCCCGTCACAAGGCGAATGCGCTTTCGTTGTGACCTTACTCATCGCTTGTCACGATGACCGCTTCGCTGACTGATGAAGCGAAATGAATAACGCATGGGTTAGATTCAACATGATTATGTTGCTGAAAGCTTTGAGAAACAAGACTTATCGGTGAGATCAAGCGCTCGGTTGCAATTTTGCATTGCTAACGCATTTGCTGTCTTGAAAGCGATGGTCAACATGGGTTGATCGTCACAAACCGAGACTACAAATGATAAACAGTTGAAGTCATGTTTAGGAGATTGAAAGCCCGACTCATGGCATCGTACAATAACATGGACAACACACACTATTGCAGGAGCAACCGCTGCGAAAGCAAAACCTTATAAATACACCCACCAACAAATTCGATACGAGCAAACGGACCTTTGATAGTTGGTAGAGTTTTTAGCATACCAAGTCCTCCAATTAGGGCCACGGCGCTCAAAATATGGAATATTAATGCATTCGAATCTCTTATCTGAGTAGTTGCAAGTATCACCTTCCCTTTTTCAGTGAGAGCATTCTTTATTCGAACCAAGTACCTTGTCACTACAGGTCAATTGCCATTGCGAGTCGAAGTCTCATTATTACTTCTTTAGCAACCTCAACTTCAGAAATACTACCGTGAAAACCTGAGCATGCAAATGCTTAATAACCGCGTGCCGTCGAATCATCCATCCCAATGTCGCTCAGATCCAGTGTAACCAACTTGTTGATAACTGTCTTAATGAAACATGTCATGCCCGTTTTCAATATGCTAGGGTCATCGTTGCGATGCCTTACCGCTTCGCACGGCAATTATTTCGAGTCAGTAGGGCGTCTCAAACACTAATGACCAAATAATCCTGTAAAAGCGGCGCGAGGGTGATTGATCACCATTATATTTCTGGAAATTGGCCGTTGGTGTCGGTGCACGACAACCGTGCGCGATATCGCTGAGCTTGAAGCATCAGGAAATTTGCCGCGCGAATGTGCAGAATGACTCGTATTTCTGAGATCTGAAATCTAAAGTTAAAAGGGCTCGTGAGTATAAACCGTGAGCTTGATCAGTAGCGAGCTTTGCTTGTAATCTAATTGCAGAAACACCATCCCATACTTTGGGCTACGATTGGAACGGTTGAGTCTGTGCTTTCCCATCACAAGACCAGTTATACTTCTTTGACACTCCAGTCGACCTACTAACATATCTCCAGACGGTGCAATGATACCTGATATAGCATCCTGCTTATGTAAGAGTAAATATAAACTTCTTTTATCGAACAGTAATTGGTTCTCGAGAGACGAATACTGTCCATCGTTCTAACGCGGCACTGGACGCTTTCTCGAACGGGGTAGGAGTGCACGCCGGAGGTCTCGGTGCGAGCACTTAGTCGAAGACATTCATTATAATGGCATCTTTTTTGGCTCCGGAGTAGGGCTTGCCGTTATACTGGCGATAAGAAGTTGCAACTTCTGGACGTGTTTGCTAGGTATCACCTCCCATGGCGGCTGGACAAACATTTGGCAAACACCCGCCCCCTTGCCTGGTTAATGGTGTGAAAAACCGCGATATATGTCGCTTTAATTCACTTCATGTGGAAAACTTCTGTTTTATAAAAGTATTGCCAATTAGCTTCCATCCTCGAGCGCACCTCGCATAGAGGACACAAGTGCGACGCGGTCTTGCTCCGATGGCTAATAAATTTATCTTTGACGCATTTGGAGAAATATGTATTAACTTCGTCCTAGTCATCATGGAATTAAAAGTCGACATCAAATGGGTCACTTTTCCTCCCACCGACACTCGATTGAGCGCTCTCGGTAGTTTCTCACCAGCGCACGCAAATTATCGGTGAACACCTCGAGGCAAACAATTATTTGTAGTGTCTAGCTGTCGGGAGGCATGGCGCGCAATGCATGTAAGACGTTGCCCACGGTGAGAAACCCGTCTTCGATGGAAAAAAATCGTAAGCTACAACAAAGAGGTTAGAGAAGGCTTGACGCAGCCTATTGACACTGATGGTGAAGACAAGGCAGTAAATCTGACGCTGCAAATTCTGTTAATAAAGGACATTAAGTAACGCAGCCGTTAAGGGACTTCGTTATCTTTTCACAACATCAAAAAGAAAATCTTTTTAATGTTTACGACCAACTCTGGAGAAGCCTTCTCATCAATACCCAACTTCATGTTATTCCAAAATCTTTTCAGTCTGGTGGCAAAGTAGACATTTACGGTGCACAATACATGTGAATAGGATATTCCAAATCAAGATACGAAATAAAGAAAAATGAATGGTGCAGCTGAATGGCTCGGCGATAAAGAGTTATTTGACTACGTCTGCCATCATAAGTACTCGCTTTGCAGTCTGGAGCAGTCATTGCTGACGTGAAATTGACCATTGACAGGCTTATGTAAGCTAGGTGTGAGGCCGATTACTGCATCTAGACGATAACGGTAAGATCGTTACGGCTCTATACGTCCAAAATTTGATCCTTGCAAGCAAAACTGACAAAGTGCTCATGTCAATCTTGAAGACACTTAATGAAAGTGTTTCGGGTAAGTTCTGCAATTTAGTGAATTTAAGCAGTACCCATTTGGCATAGTTGTATACGATACAAAGCATTCCAATTGTATCGGAGGATTGATATTTCAGTCAATGATAGTGCTACGATAAGAGGAGTCAGATGTACCCAGGAGCCGTTATTTGCATGTGAAAACAAGAGACTGTTAAATCAATTAAAGCGAAGAGTTTAGTTATAATTCATCAACTAGGTATTTCCTAGGTATATATACTCTCTTTGAAGTTTCTAGTAAAAAAGTGCTTGTAACAAGCCACTGTGCATTGTATACGCCAACAGTTCAAGTCAAGGCTTTCTCTGTGCAACGTGGCGACCCTATTGTACATAGCAATACTTGTAGACAAATTCACAACCGGTTCGTGAAAGCACTATTTCCTCGGTAATGACTGAGCACAAAATGGTCGATTGACTGACCACAGGACAACTAGTATACTTGGTAAGCTTATATCTAACGTTGGCCCCGATGAGGCCAGGAAATTGGCGGTCCGGAAGTCAAAAGTGGTAATTACGCACCAACATGCGCTCAATAGCTATGAGAATGAGCTGGTGTAACACCACAGAAAACACCATAATAAGGAAACGGTGGAAGCATAGATGGTAATACACCGTGTTGTCGCTATTGAATGTTTAGTCCTGGATAGCACGATTAGACGGATACATCTTATACATCATGCGAGAAATGAAGATGGTGATAGATATCACAACGCTCCGAAAGGCTCAAGGAAAAAGGAACGGTGGGTTGCAGAATTTTCTGTGAAAGAGGCATACCCAACTGATAAAAATTTGATGCGACAGATGTTGCGGATAAGCAACTTACCTAACCGGGAGTGTAGGTCGAATTTTAAGCTCTTGTTCATCAGTCAATGAAGGCAAGGCCTGACAAAGAATCTTGAGGTGTTAAGAATCCATATATGCTTGAATGTCGTTGACACCTTTATTGGGAGCCTGAACCAGATGTAATCTTCGTGGACGGTCTTCAACGGGTGCGACACGTACCAAGATTGCTCGCGCTCAATTTACAGCTTTCGAGAAAGTGGTGCGCGTCGTATTCTATTCAGGGCACAGAAGTTGTGCCCTATAGGAAAGATGCGGTGCCGGGAGTGGAAGCTTTATCGGCACGCCGAAAGTAAACCTCGGCCATGCTGTGGGAAAGAGAGAGATGTTTTGGCCGCACCGCAGCTCTGTTGTGCTCGCAAAAAAATTGTGGTTGTATAATTCATGCCCTCTTGCAATTGGCTGGGAGCTACGAATTGTCGTGCACGCACAGATAAGCGGACGACAAATCTCTTTGAAAAACGTCAAGTATCAGTTGGAGCAGGGTGGCCTACTGGGAGAGAACTCGGTTCTGTTCGGCCTCATGGGGTCGTGGTGAACGAGCCCAGTACTGAATAAACACACTCTCGATGCAAACTGGAGCGCACAGCTCATGGTTTTTGGTTGTCAAAATGAATCCCCAGGATTCGTTAGGCCATGAAAAATGGTATTGGTATATCCAAAGCGGATACAACATTCGTGCGTCTAGTAGAGAGGATAATGGTAAAAGTGTCGAATATTCTGTCGGACCTATAAGTGAAGACACTAGTTTAAAGTTAAGTTTAAGGACTTTGCAGCATATAAGGCGGACGAAGTTTGGGCACATGTTCGAGATACGATATGTTGTGGTACAGCGTGGCTGGTAAACAAGGCTATGGATTGATTTAATATGAATAAGTAGATATGTCAACTTCTCTCCTGACGCATTAGCGAGTCATAAACCCACCTTTGTCGAGAAACAGAAACGCTTTTGGTGTGGGCGCAAAGCTGAGACAGCGTATCTGCAGGTCATGGAATTTCATAGCAATTGTATTGCTAGGTGCCTCGAGCAGAGCTTGAAATCCAGATGTGGCAGTAAGCTGAAGTATAAGGATGATACGGAAAAGCGATTGTATATCGCTATATCTGGAGTGTATATCAGGCGAGGCGTGAAAATACAATCGTGTGTCGTGGCCCTCGAAGTTGTTTCTGATAAGGAACAGCAATGAGCTGTTGTCTTTTGTGCCAGTGACGATAATGTGTGCAAGTGACTGGGTGCCGCAATCTCCCATGCCCCGTGTTAGTTTTGCCAGTTGAAGATGCTGAAAAGAATCACCTTGCTCCGGATAATGTCCTACCCGCAATGAAGTATGCTCGTGTCGCACCCGGCTAATTTTAATCTATACGGCTCATGCGTCGTTGTTCACATTGACGTTACGATGGCATTTTTCACAGAGAATGACTAGATAGTTATACTTTTTTGCCAAGTAACTCTTTTAAGTAAGGTACAATTCGAATCGGCTCAATGTGGTGGCAGGTGCGCTCTCGATCTATGATCTGTCGCATGTCACAATAATGACGTCGTCATTTGATGTTCGGCTTGAACATCGTCTGAGTCAGAAACAACACGTGTTGTGGTGCTGAAACCATTGAGAAGCAAACGTTTCTCGGATGAAGCTTTACCGGAGCGTCTGGCTGCACGTTTGAATCGCTTTTCCTTACTCCGAGTCTTTTCGCATAACGACACCGACTCACTTCATACTCAGAGAATAGTGGTGTTTCAAGATGGGCAGAATATTTGCTTAATCTTTGAATGACAAAATTGGAATTGAAGAGACAAACCTCTCGGCGAGCGCTTTGAGCTCGTGATCAAGTACGTACAAGTTAGTAAGCTCGTATTTGTACCATATATAAACATGCTTACGGACTAAACTTTCACCTGATGTCGGTTCTATTCTCCAGTCAAGCGGTTCCAGCAGAATCATGTGAGCTCGATAAGTTGGGCTCCACTTTCGGTTCCCCAAAGATGCGTCCAATTATACCGGAATTGTAGTCTTTGTAGACCATCTGAGCAAGATTGTTCATTTCGCTGCTGTCAGATATTGTGCCCGGTGAGAGTACAATCAAGTTATCTCTCGACAAAGTGTTTCGTCGACATGGCTTATCGGTTGCCATTTTAAAGGATATAGACCCGCGCTCTCTAGCGAGGCTCTGGGAAACATTATTCAAGGTGCTAGGCAACAATTTGAGTTGGCTATACTTCGCATCAGATTCAGTCCTTTCAGCGCAATGAAATAATCTTCATGCGCAAGGGATGCAACGCTATGGAGAAAAGCGAGAAAAAGAAAATCAACTCGCCTATATCAGGGCAGGCCGAACACACGATATTTTGTGAGGCAAAAGGGTTATTCAAACTGTAATTCAACCATCTTCCCATGCATAATTTGTGATCTATAAGACTAAGCTGAGATCGACTGCATCGAACCTCTCACGGTCGTAGATTAAGTGTTATTCTACATACTATAAAG